TCTGAGTCTAGCCACCCAGCAAGTCTACCAGGCTCGGGGCTGGTACAGGGGGTTTTCTGCACAGAGTCCTGTGATGTGAACTGTCTATGGGTCTCTCAGCCATGGGTACCAGTGGTTGTTCTGGTGAATGTGACGGAGTGTGCAGTGAATTCCATGAATGTTGTTAGCTTTGGTAGTTTAATGCTCCATTTTTGTGCTGGTTGGCCTCCTACCAGAAGGTGGCACTTTCCCGAGAGCATCAGCTGCAGTAGGGTGGAGAGGGACTAGTGGTGGTTGAGGCCCTAGAACTCCCAAAATATGCCCTTTGTCTTCACTACCAGAGTGGATAGGGAAGGATCATCAGGTCAGGGTGGGGCTAGGCCTGAGCTCAGACTCTCCGTGGGCACGTCTTGCTGGGCTGCTGTCGGGGATGGGATGAGATTCCCAGGTCACTGGAGCTGTGTTATCTAGGAGTATTATGGCTGCCTCTGCTGAGTCATGCAGGTTGTCAGCGAAGTGGGGGAAAGCTGGCAGTCACAGGCCTCACCCAGCTCCCACACACACTGAAGGGCCGGTCTCACCCGCACTGTGCTCCCACCCGCACTGTGCTCCCACCAACAGCGCGGAGTCTGTTTCCAGGCTGAGGGCAAGATGGTCTTGAAAACTTACCCGAGGATATCTGCCTCCCAGCTGCGAGAGAAAAGGGCTTTAGTTCTTCCCCTGCCTGTGAAGTCTGTACACAAGATTTGTGCCCTCCCGAGTTCTGGCCAGGAGGCTTCTCACCCTGTTCAAATGGTTACAAAGTTCAGCTAGATACTTCCTTTTCCCTGTGGAGTTTTACCCCCTGCTCCTCTGGCCACCCTCCTGTTGGATCCCTGTGGTGCTAGGCAGGAACGGGCTGTTTGGGGACCCAGCGAGCTCCCAGGGCCTTTCTGCTCCTTCCTCTACCCCTGTATTTTGCTTGGCCTCTAACTTGACTTAGCTCCAAGTAAAGTCGAAAACTTATCCTGAAAACAACTTCAGCTTCTCCAGTGGGGTGTGTGTTCCCACTTCCACAGTTGGAGCGCTCACAGTATTTGGGGTGTCTCTCAGGTCCTGCAGGAGCAGTCTGCTTCCTTCAGAGGGTCTGTGGGTCCTCTTGGGATTGCTGGTTTGTTCTGCAGTCGATCTGGAGCTAAAATTCACAGTGCAAGCCCCTGCATGCTGCTCTGTCCAGAGCTACAATCTAGTCTTGCCTGTGACTGCCACGATCTCCTGAATCCTCAATTTTTTATTACTGTAAAAATGATATGCACTTGTGGGAGAAATTTATGATCTCACAAATATGATAGATACCAACAGGGAAGGTTTATTCTGGTTATGTTAGCAAATTGATTTTGTAGCTTTATATGAAGTGTTTTGTTTTCTCCTTTCTTCCTTTAAAATAAGAATCCATGATTTTTGTCAGCCAGAAGGCTCTTTTATGGATTAATGAGTAAATGATCCCAGAGCATTTTGGGATTTGTTAATTAAAGTGTTCGTATAAAATGCTTTAATAAATTATCAGTTTTGATGTTTTTAAAATATAAAGTCCTCCAGAGCAAACTGTAATTGTTGGGGATAATTTAAAAACCTGGAGCATTTGGCATTCTTATGAAAATGGAAAGAGTTTATAAATGCTTTTTAGTTATATCAAGAAGTGCTTCTGGTTTCTTTTGAGATAAATTGCAAAATTACATGGATGATGAAAATGTTTTTGCATATTTTCTGTGTAGAGTGAACTTCTCATTTCTGTCTTGTATTTTAATGCCATGTAGATGGTTAGATGCACTCTGTCTTGGGTACCCAAAATAGAACAACTTGGGGTCTTACGTATTGGCAGTCCTAAGGAACAGAAAGTTTGCAAAGGGAGGAAAGAAGGAGCTCACTGAAGGGGAGAGTGGGTTAGTTTTGGGGTGCAGTTAATCCGTCTGAGGCGCCAGCTTGTTAGTGACATTTATCAAGCATTTATTGAATTCCCATTATTGTTTGACACTGTGACAGGTCCTATAGGTACCAAGTAGTGTATAGCTTAGTCTTTGTCCTGCAAAGAGAGATAAATATAAGTAGACAAATAGTTACTGAAAATATTACAGTCTAGGAACATACATGTGCTGAAAATTATTGGGAACAGAGCATTGGCTGTGATTAAATTCTTAATTTCCTAGTTGAGCAAGAAGGGGTAATTGTTCTGTACAGAGGAAATACAATTTACAGTATGTTTACAAAAATTACAAGGAACTAGAAAAGTCTAGGGCCAGAATTTGAAGGCTTTGTATACTGTGTGAAAATGCTTTACCTTTATTTCACTATTTAGACTGTGATGTAGGATCAGGGTTGTTTATATATATTTTAAAATTTTACAGACCATGATAGATTAATAGCTTTATAAAATACAATAAAAAGTAATCATAGAAAAATGAAATATTTTCTATGAAATAAAGTCCCAAGTTTTTATTTAGATTGAACCAACATAAAATGATTCTTACGATTCTTGTATTTGTCTGTTTTCATGCTGCTGATAAAGACATACTTGAGACTGGGCAATTTGCAAAAGAAAGAGGTTTAATTGAACTTACAGTTCCACATGGCTGGGGAGGCCTCACAATCATGGCTGAAGGCAAGGAGGAGCAAGTCACATCTTATGTGGATGGCAGCAGGGAAAGAGAGAGCTTGTGCAGAGAAACTCCCGTTTTTAAAACCATCAGATCTCGTGAGATCCATTCACTATCACAAGAACAGCACAGGAAAGACTTGCCCCCATGATTCAATCATCTCCCACCCGGCCCCTCGTACAACACATGGAAATAATGGGAGCTACAAGAAGAGATTTGGGTGGGGACATGGAGACAAACCGTATCACTTCTATACAGTTTTTATAAAACACTCACTTTCTGTAGTTACCTCATCATGGATTAGTAACAAATATTTAATGTCTAGTAACTCTTGGACTTGTGATGGCCTGTGGGCCATACTTGCAGTGGTGTTGATCTTCCGGTGATAAATGGTCCCTGCAGAGTTTTAAGCAAAGAATAGCATGATTGTATTTGTTTTTCACACGGTGAATTATTTTGCAATATGGGTGGTGATTAGGTTTCAGGCTGAAGGGCTGGAAACCAAGGAACCCTGGAATCATCAGTATTTGAGGGATAGCTGGAAATGGAGGAGACAGTGAAGGTGACTTTGTTTATATTAATAATTCACCTGGGGAGTAGTTTCACCACTAGGCCATAAGCTTATAGAAGGCAGGGGTTATATTTCTTTTAGCTCCTAAGATTAAATAGACATTTCAGAAATATTTGTGAATGAATGGATAAATGGATGAATTAATAAATGAATGAATGTGTCCGAGAGGTAAAGGCAGAACCAGGAGGGAGTAGAGTGTTTAAAACTGGAATAAGAGGAATTTCAGGAGAGAGAATGTAATAAACAGAACCAAATGCTTTCAAATCAGGGAAGATGACAATTTAATAATTATGTATTAGACTTAGTAATTTGAAAGTCCTTAGGGAAGAGACCAGCTTTATCAGCGGGGTAAAGTTAGAAGCCACATTATAATGTGTTGCCTATCTCTACTATCTGGTAAGGGAGTGAGTAGAAAGATCTTTTAAAAGATGGCACTTCATTAATTAATGTTCATTTATTTATTGAGGAAGAAAAGTAATGATAATATTTTGTATCAGTTTAGTATTGTGTGTGAATGTGAGATCAGTAATAGGTATATATTATTTTTCTTCCATTTCAGCAGGGAAACAAACATCTATTAAATGGAATTGGGTTTGATTTTTTCTATATTTGATTCCGATTGAGAAGAAAACTAAAATGTGAATAGTTTGCTTGGTCTTGTTTCCAATGGATTTTTAATGAATTCATTCCTTAATATTATTTTTGTTTTTAATTTTTTAAAAATAGATTCAGGGGTTGCCTATGCAGGTTTGTTGCAGGGATATATTGCATAATGGTGAGGTTTGGGCTTCTGTTTTACCCGTCACCTGAATAGTAAGCATTGTTCCCAATAAGTAATTTTTTCTATCATTACTCCCTTTCCATCCTCCCTGCTTTTGGAGACTGCAGTGTCTCTTATTTCCCTCTTTATGTCCATGTGTACCCATTGTTTAGTTCCCACTTTTAAGTGAGAACATACAGTATTTGATCACTTAGGATAATTGCCTGTAGCTCCATCCATGCTGCTGTGCCAGATGTTTCTTTTTTTTGTGATTGTGTAGTATTCCATGGCATATATACACCACATTTTCTCTATTCAATCATCCGTTAATGGACACTTTAGTTGATTCCATGACTTGGCTATTGTGAATAGTGCTGTGATAAACATACAAGTGCAGGTGTCTTTTTGATATAACAATTTCTTTACCTTTGTCATTCTCTAATATTCTTTATTGATTATTAGAATCCCTCCAATCACATTCCATTTCCATCAGAGAATAAAATTTACTCTTATTCTGTACTGTGCAAGGCTTATATTTGTCCAAAAGTTTGTAGGGAAAATATTATGGCTTGAAAGTATGTGGGATATAATTCCTTCTGAAGAGTCAGAATAGAAGTTACGGGTAGTGTCATTATATTTGCTAATTTAGCAAGTTTGTCTTTAGTTGCTTTATTCTTATAATCAAATTTTAATAGGATCTTTAAATTTAAAAAACATTACATCTACTGTATAAGTGATGGGCATTCTCATACAATGCCACATGGACTATTGATACTTCGTCATCTTTTAACATTGTCTAGATGAAAACTTTATTTGAAATTTTCTTCTCTTGGTTACTTTTTAAAAAATACTAAAATAAACATTGGGTATTTTTCACTCTTTCCCTAAACGATTATGTTCATTTTATAGTATAGAGAGGAATGAAAATCCAGGAGATTTAAGGCAATCCACAGTATTATGTGAAAATGTTAATCATTTTAATCCTTTTTTTTATTAAATAAAAACGTTCAGCCTTCTTCACAATAATTTCGATAGTTATCTCTAAATCTTTTTATAGAATGAAGACCAGCAAGAAGTAATCCTTGTCAGAACAGATCAGTCTGGAAGAGTATGGCCTGTGAACACACCCGGAAAATCTCTGGAATCACAAGGAGGAAGAAGAAAGAGACAGATGGTATGTTTAACATATGTCTTTGTTTATTAATTCAGAATTCCTTCTTTCCCTTGGGGCTTTCTTCATATCAGATTACAAAATATTTTCTGAAAAGTAACTTTTGAATGCCAATATTGGAAGGTAGTAAATGATGTTGTTCTTACTTTTATTCTTAGTTATATCTTTTTGCCTTTTACAGAATGGAAAGTAATCCAACTGTGTTTTTTCAAATAGTTGTTAACATTGAATGTTTAAGGCAATTTTAATTTTAGTTTACATTTCTTTGATGTTGTTTTCAGCTGCTTTTGGCATACTTGCTATAGCTCTTAGGGAAAACTTTGGTCTCCCAGAGCTGTTACTAGTATTAGACAGCTAACTTGAGACCTGGTGATGGGGTATCCATACACAATAATGGCTTAATTATGTAGGTGCCTTAATCCTTTATAAAGCTAATTTTCTTTTCCATTTTCCAACTCTAGTAATTAGTTTTTAGCACTACCTTGAGGCTCTTGAGATGGCAAAAACAACATATTCAGCTTTCCCAAATTAGGTTTTTTATTTTAAATTTGGAAGATCAGACAAGTGATAATTGCATATACAAAAGAACTGTTCATTCAGAATATTTCTGTCAAATGTTTATTTTTTGCCTGTTCAGCACCTGTGTTGCTAGAGATTCTAATTAATTCATTCAACAGATAGAAGTGGGATAGATATGTCTTCTAATGTAATGGGGGGAATTTGGTGGTTGGAGAGGAGGTACAGGAGGAGAATAGTAAAGGTTTGAATTATATGAAATGGTGGAACTGACTAGGGATCCATAAATGCATTGTCAGAAGGCATCAAGGGCCCTTTTTGAGTTGCATATTACTTAACAATTTAGGTATAGGAGTAAAGAAGGTAGACACTTTCACAAGTAAAGTTTGTTCTTTGAGTATGATGAAAAGACAAGAGGGCCAGAAATTAAGTGTCTGGAGCCAGGGGGTGATTGAAGTCAAGGGATATGAGGTTTAAGCTAGTAAAGACAAGAATAGTAATGTTGGGAAATGTAGTTGCACCCCTGTTCCAAAGATCTCAAAGAAGTTAAAGATGAGGTTTTATTTGGATAAGGGAATGTGAGAGCAGCATTAGAAAGATTTGATTTGGGAGGAAATAAATAGTATTTTTCTGTTCTACACCAGCGTATGGAACCAACTGATAGGAACATCTGGGACTGAATTAGATGGAGACCAGAATATCAGCTTTGCTTTTGATAAAGCTGTTTACAGAACAAGGGCTTAATAATTAGAAGTTGGTGTCTTAGTTCGGGCTACTATAACACAGACTGGATGGCTTAAACAACAGAAATTTGTTTCTCACAGTTCTGGAGACTGAGAAGTCCAAGATTAGGGTGCTGGCAGCTTCATTGTCTGATTAGGGCATGCTTCTGGGTTTGTAGATGATAGTCTTCTTGTATAATCAAATGACAGAAAAGAGAGAGAGAGAGAACAAACGCTCATGTCTTTTAATAGAGGTACTGTATTAGTCAGGGTTCCCTAGAGGGACAGAACTAAGAGGATAGATGCATATATGAAGGGGAGTTTATTAAGGAGTGTTGACTCACATAATCACAAGGTAAAGTCCTACATAGGCCATCTGCAAGCTGAGGAGCAAAGAAGATAGTGCAAGTCCCAAAACCTCAAAAGTAGGGAAGCCAACAGTGCAGCCTTCAGTCTGTGGCCAAAGGCCCAAGAATCCCTGGCAAACCATTGGTGTAAGTCCAAGAGTCCAAAAACTGAAGAATTTTGAGTCTGATGTTTGAGGGCAGGCAGCATCCAGCATGAGAGAAAGTTGAAGGCCAGAAGACTCAGCGAATCAAGTTCTTTCAGCGTCTTCTGGCCACCCTGCCAGCTGATTAGATGGTCACCCACGCTGAGGGTGGGTCTGCCTCTCCACTAACTGCCAGTCCACTAACTCAAATGTTAATCTCCTTTGGCAACACCCTCACAGACACACCCAGGAACAATACTTTGCATCCTTCAGTCCAATCAAGTTGACACTCAGTATTAACCATCACAGGTTCTGATCCCATTTCTGAGTACTTCATGCTCATAGCCCAGTTACTTCCCAAAGACCAGTTACTTCCCAAAGACCTTGCGTCTTAATACCTTCTTATTGAGATTTCAACATGTGAATTTTGGGGCAACATAATCATGAAATTCATAGCAGTGGATTTGCTAATACTTCACCTCTGTTTTTGATATACTTACTCCATCTCTGGATAACTTCAGTCTTCCCACCACAGTGGTAAGGAATTTTAACTATAAGGAGAAGAAGAGCAGAAAAGAGAGAAGAAGGGGTAAAGCAGTGTTGCTCTTTCATCAAAACTCATAAAGCAGTTAATATCATGCTTCCATCCCCAGGGAAGAGGAGAGTAAAGAGGCAGAAGTAGGGAATGTAATTCTAATGGAAGTTTTTTCACATGGAAGCTGGCAGACTAGGGATAAACTGGAAGGAAAGGTTGTGATTACATAGTGGAATTTTTACATTTAACATCAGATTTTTATGTAATCCATTAAATGCTTCAGAGACTCATGTTTTCATTAAATTAATAATGTTCATTTTGTCATAGGTTTCAACCCATGAGGAAAAAGAAAGGGTCAGATACTTTCATGATGATGATAATCTAAGCCTAACTGATTTGGTCAAAAATGAAAAGATGGGAACAGCAGAAAATCAAAACAAGCTCTTTATGAGAATGGCATCTAAGGTAAGATATATTCCTAGGATACCTCTGAATTTTGAGAAGCTGGTTATTCAATGTAACAGGGATCTGCTTTTTGGAGAGATCCGATTCTCTCTAATCTTGGTTCATTTTATTAAATTAAATCCTTTGTAAGACTTATTAGAAACATGCATTTTGGAATTGATCTGGTTGAGAAATAGACATTTGAAATTTTGTTTGTTTTTAAATATAGACTATGGTTTATTTCTTTAATGCATTCTGTGGAGATTTTAATTATACATTTGATCTACCATTTAAGAGAAAATTTTAAGCCAGAGTTAATGATTGACAGTGCGCTGATAGTTAGGTTACCACTCCGTCTTGTCTTAACGTTCCTCCAATTCTTCATAATTGTGCCATGAAGAGGTAGAAGAAAATATTTGCACTGGGCCGGGTGCGGTGGCTCACGCCTGTAATCCCAGCACTTTAGGAGGCTGAGGCGGGCAGATCACGAGGTCAGGAGATTGAGACCATCCTGGCCAACATGGTGAAACCCCATCTCTACTAAAAATACAAAAATTAGCTGGATGTGGTGGCAGGCGCCTGTAATCCCAGCTACTTGGGAGGCTGAGACAGGAGAATGGCTTGAACCCAGGAGGTGGAGGTTGCAGTGAGCCAAGATCACGCCACTGCCCTCCAGCCTGGTGATGGAGCAAGACTCTTGTCTCAAAAAAGAAAAGAAAAAAAAAAAAAGAAAGAAATTATTTGCACTAATATATTATGAATTATGGAGAGGCATCTGGGAATAATCTTAAACCTATTTATATGAAAATATATATTATTTTGGTACATCATTATGGATAGGATGAATTTTTGTTTCAAATAGCATTCTTTGTTGCAGTCTCTTCCACTGAAGTCTCTTCCAAACACTACCATTAGCATTTTTTATAAAAGAGACATTGGTATTTAAACTGTTCTGTAACAGGTTTTGGCAAACTGTGACCCCCATGGGAAAAATTCAGCCTACTGCCTATATTTGCAAATTAAGTTTTATTGAAGTACTACTCTACACATGTGTTTACATATTATCTAAGGCTGCCTTCACTCTATAATGGCTGAATTAAGTAGTTCTGATAGAGAATGGTAGTCCATAAAGCTGCAGATATTTCCTGTGTGACTTTTTAAACAAAAAAATGGCCAACTTCCACCCTATAATAACAATGGTTACTTTTTGGTAGTGGGAGTTTGAACTGACTCACTGAGATACAGCCATGGGATGGGGAGACTTTTCACTATTTCTTTTCAGACTTACAATCTTTTATTTTTTTAACCTTTTAGATTCACACAATTATGTAAGTATGTTACCTGGTAAAAAATTAAACTTAAAACTAAAATAAAGTAACCAAGATATCTGTATGTGTATGTGTGTGTTGGGGAAGAGGGCAGTAAAGTAAAATTGAGTTTAAAAGGAAATGGCTTTTGTACCTATCACCAAGAGTTACATGAGATCTTACATTTAGCCCATTAAGATAATTTTACTTCTGTTTATTTTGGAAAAAAATGCCAGAAATTTCCTAGGGTCTGGAATTTTAATGCAGAAAAAAGGAAGACATATTTTTATTAGAGTTTCCTTTTCAAAAGTGGTACCTCTGTGTATGAAGTCTGAATTAAATAGTTTTAGTAATCTTATAAACCATTCAAGTTTATGAATCATAAACCATTCAAGTTAAAGAAAAATCCTTCTTAAAAATTGTAATAGCGCTGGGCGCAGTGGCTCACCCCTGTAATCCCAGCAATTTGGGAGGCCTAGGTGGGTGGATCATGAGGTCAGGAGTTCAAGACCAGCCTGGCCAACATAGTGAAACCCTGTCTCTGCTAAAAATACAAAATTAGCCGGGCATGGTGGCACACACCTGTAGTCCCAGCTATTCGGGAGGCTGAGGCAGGAGAATCAGGAGGTGGAGCTTGTGTTTACCTGAGATCACACCACTGCACTCCAGCCTGGACAACAGAGCAAGACTCTGTCTCAAAAAAAAAAAAAAAAAAATTGTATAGCCATTTATCAATTCAGCAGTTATTATTGAACACTTAATTAGTGTCAGATGCCATTTTAGTTGAGGGATACATAGAAGCAATTAAGTCAATATTTGTGCCCTCAGGTGCTTATATTTCTAGTGGATGAGAAAGTGAACAAATATGTAAACTATATAGCAATATATTATAAAATTGAAAATAGTTTTGTAGAAAATGAAGCAAAGTAGAAGGAACTGGGATGATATTTTCAACAGAGTGTTGAGGGAAAGTCTTTCTGTATAGGTGATGTTTCCTCAGACTGAAAAAAGTGAGCGAGAGGTCCTTGTGAATATCTGAGGGAAGATTATTTCAAGTAGAAGAAACAGCAAAGGATCCAAAGCAGAGACAAGCTTGAAGAACATCAAGAGACTGCAAAAAGACAAGTGTGACTGGTAGTAGAGGGAGGAAGAGAAAGAGAAGTAGAAATGAGATAGGAGACAGAAGTCAGATTACGTAAGGCAGGGAGTCCATATCCCTGGACCACAGATGGGTACTGGTCTGTGGCCTGTTAGGAACTGGGCCGCACAGCAAGAGGTGTGCGAAGCGGGCCAGCCAGCATTACTGTCTAATTTCCACCTCCTGTCAGATCAGTGCCAAGATTCTCATAGGACCATGAATCCTGTTGTGAATTACGCATATGAGGGATCTAGGTTACACACCCCCTTATGAGAATCTAATGCCTGTTGATCTGAGGTGTAACAGTTTTGTCCTGAAAGCAGCCCCACCCCCACCCCCACCCCTGCTGCCCTGTCTGGGGAAAAATTGTCTTCCACGAAACTGGTCCTTGGTGCCAAAAAGGTTGGGGACTGCTGAGGTAGGGTCTTACAGGCCATGGATAACTTTCACGTTTGTTTTAATGATGGAGAGCCATTTGAAGGTTTTTGTTGTTGTTGTTGTTGTTGTTTTTTTTGCAAGGCTGTGTCATGATTTGGTTTATATTTTTGACAGAATTTTTCTGGCTGCTCTTTTGCGAAGGCAGCGTAGAGAGGCATTAGTGGAAGCAGGAGATCACTTAGGAGGAGAGTGTTATATTAGTTCAGATAGAGCCATGGATGGATTACAGTGGTAAAACTGGTGAAAAGTGTCTGGATTTGGGGCATTCCTGGTGCCATATATTGAAATGGGAAAAATTGCAGGAGCGACACGTTTTGAGGGGGTGGGAAATCAAGAATACTGTTATGGATGTGTGAAGTATGAAATGCCCAGTCACATGGTAGTGTGGGGTGGCTGCCCCTGGAGTTCTGGGTAGATGCTGGCTCTCCCATATAGATTTGGATGTGTTGGCTTTTTTTTTTGGAGACAGAGTCTCCCTCTGTCACCAGGCTGGAGTGCAGTGGCTGAATCCCGGCTCAATGCAACCTCCGCCTTCCGGATTCAAGCGATTCTCCTGCCTCAGCCTCCCAAGTAGCTGGGACTACAGGCGCGCATCACCATGCCCAGCTAATTTTTGTATTTTTAGTAGAGATGGGGTTTCACCACATTGGACAGGCTGGCCTCCATCTCTTGACCTCGTGATCTGTCAGCCTCAGCCTCCCAAAGTGCTGGGATTACAGGCATGAGCCACTGCGCCTGGCCCTGTGTTAGCATTTAAATAGTATTTAAAGCAGTGGGATTGAAGAAATTATTAATGAGGAGAGTCTGAAGACTGTGTCCTGGAGAGGACAGAAAGGATTCAGCAAATAAAACTGAGAAGTGCAGCCAATGAGGCAGAAGGAAAACCAAGGGTGTGGTGTTTCAGAAGACAGAGAGGAGGTTATGAATGACTCTGTCAGCTGCTTCTAAGAGGTGAGCAAAATCTTTGAAGATGGGAAATGGCCACTGGATTTGACAGTGTAGAGGTTTCTGGTGACTTTAATTAAAGTATGGGTTTTTTTCTTGACCAATAAGGAAAAAAGCCTGATTATGTTGGGTTCAAGAGTGAATTTGAGAAGAATTGACCTTAGAAGGGAGCTGATTACCATCCATCAATTATATAAGGAGGAAAGGCAGAGTGTTAGTATATAGATGTAGGTGGCTTCTTAAATTTGGTAGTAGAAAAATGAACAAGGGCCAGGTGTGGTGGCTCACACCTGTAATCCCAGCACTTTGGGAGGCCAAGGTGGGAGGATCACTTGAGGCCAGGAGTTCGAGACCTGTCTGGGCAACAAAGTGAGACCCCCCATCTCTACAAAAAATAAAAAGTCAGCTGGGTGTGGTGGTACGTATCTGTAGTTTCAGCTATGTAGGAAGCTGAGTTGGGACGATCACTTGAGTTTAGGTGGATGTCCGAAACTGTGGATGGTACCAAACCATGTGTATGCTATGTTTTTTTCCTATTCATACATACCTATGATAAATTTTAACTTATAAAGTATAATTGATAGACATAGTAAGAGATTAACCACAATAATCATAAAATACAAGTATAACAGTATGCCAGCATCGCTACTCTTGGAATTTAAGGCTGTTATTAAGTAAAATAAGGGTTACTTGAACACAAACTCTTTTATACTACAACAGTCAGTCATAACTGAGATAGCTACTGAATAACTAAATGGACAGACAGGTAGCATACACAGTATGGGTGTGCAGGACAAAGGGCTGATTCATGTTCTCTGGGGGATGGAGTAGAATAGCGTATTTCATCACACTACTCAGAATACCACATAATCTAAAACTTATGGAGTGTTTGTTTCTGAAATTTTCCATTTAATATTTTCGAACCACAGTTGACTGCAGGTAACTGCAGCCTCAGGAAGTAAAACCACAGATAAAGGGGGGTTACTGTATTGTATAGGATTGCTTATTTAATATTAGCTGATTTGGCAATAATTGCATCTTCATTACCTTCCCTAAACATTTTACATCTTTGATTTTTTTTTAATTGAAGTTTACTAAGCTAGAACATTATAGAAGCTAGAATATAAGAATTTACCAGTGACATCTGGCCCTTAAATTTCTATTTCTGGTCTGTATTAGCTGAAATAGAAAGT